GCGCGGGGGGGTGGGGGGGGGGGCGGGGGGGGTGCGGGCAGCCCCACCGCGCTGGTTAGAGGGGCTTGGGGGCCCCCTCTGTGACCTTGGAGGGGTGTGGGGCGGGGGGTGTGTGTGCGAGAGGCCCCCACTGTGAGCCTGGGCTGGTGGGAGATGTGGGGCAGGCTTGGGGAGCCCCCCACTGTGAGCCTGGGGTGATGTGGGGCTGGTGGGGGATGTGGGGCAGGCTCGGGGGCTCTCCACTGTGAGCTTGGGTGGTGTGGGGCTGAGGGAGAACAGGCTTGGGGTTTCCTCTACGAGCTGCTGTGGGGCTGGGACAGGGCTCCTGTTGAGGTGTCTTAGAGGTGCTTTTGTGAGTTTGGGACTAAGAGACTTCGGAAGAATTTGTATGAATTTGGGGATGGAGTTCGGAGGTTGGGGTAACGGAAGAGCTGCTGGTGATGGGGATGGAGCTCAGGGGTGGGGGTGAGGAGGATCTTGGGAGCATATCTGTGCGTTTTGAGGGGGGTTTATGGAGCTCAGGGGGACTCGGGGTCCTCTCTGAATATGGAGGTGAGAGGGGGGCAATATATGTGGGTAGTTCTACGAGCCGGGGGGGCATTTGCGTGGCTCAGGGGGTGCTGACAGCCTGGGTGACCCGAGACATCTGATGGGTGATGTGGGGCTCTTATGGCCTACTGATTCAAGACTGTTGGGGGCACCCCGGTGAACTGGGGGGCCGGAGGAGCGATGGGATTTTTTGTTTGGGTTTGTGGTATGCTTTTTTTTCAAAAGCATGGCTAGGTGCAGTGATGGACACGGTCGATGCTTTCCCAGAGAGCCTTGCAAAGCCCTCCTCGGCCTTGCAGCTCCTCTTCTCCCTGCCCCGGGGGGTTGGAGTCTCTTCATCCCCGGCTGAGGCCGCTGGAGGCCTTGATCGGTCTTTGTTCCCCTCAGCGGGCTGCGGGCCCCGAGTGCCTGGGTCGGGGCTCCTTATCTGCTGGGTGTGTGTGTTTGTTTGGCTTTGGTTCGCTGCTGCCGATTCCCCTTTCTCAAATGATGTCTTGAGAGTTGAGAGGCTTTTGTAGTCACAGAAAGGTCTGATTGTGAAGGAGTCGGTTAACCAGAAGATTATTTGTTTTGCATGGAGTTGTTGGCACTAAAGAAATTCACGATAGTCAGCTCTGTGTCACTTTGTATGGAAATATTCACAGCACATGCTAAATCACTCTGAGCAGGTGCTCTGCATCTTGACTGCGGAGGAGCTGAGAAGGGTGATTAAGTAGAAAAATTCCAAATTCCATCTTTGCCCTGCAACTTCAGTGGTCGTTTTAGGCATTTGAGACTGCATTGGTGTTTTGGATGTTGTGCCCCAATCATCATGAAACAACAGGTAGTTGCCATGAACTTGCAAATGATTGGTAACTGAAGCTTAATTATGTGATGTCATTGAGTTAATTTTCAAAATGACAGGTGGCTGCTTGTGCCTGGATAAATAATCTTCTAAAACTTGGAGCAGTTTCATTTTTGTGAGTTTTGATTTGCCATGGTGGGACAGCTTGCTGCCTTTCACACTATTTGCCTTGGACACTGACCACTTTAAACAAGATATCTTTAATAAAATCTCCCTCCCCGTCTCACTTTATCACAACTACTAGCTAATGAACTTGTGAAATTCAATGTAGCAAAAAAATCTTGGTTGCAAATATTTTAAATAAATGCTGAATTACTTTTTATTAATCGTAAAAAGGAGTTTGATTTTTAGACTTAATATCTGAAAAGCTGCACAAATGTAGTGTATGCATATTTATGTTAATGTATCAGGTATTTTAATCACCTGAAGCTGGTTTAGCAATGATGTATAAGTAGCTCAATAACAAACCTGAAAAAGTCTCCAAAAGAGCCTCCTCTGCTTATGTAGCTTGTTTTAGGAAGTGTTGACAACTTTTTCATGTCCTAGGCTTAATTTTTAAAGTCATCACAGTAAACAGCAACAGCTTGTAAAGATTCATTATCTGTCACCTCAATTTCACTTTGAGATGAAGCCACGAAGTTCACTTAAGGTTCTACAAGCTGTCAATGCAAAAATACTTAATGTGTAAAAGCTTTGGCTGAAGTATGACTATGATGAAGAATAAAGAAGGATTGAAGAAATAGCTAGTACAGGCGTGCTTTGCATGCCATTGCTTCAGTAGGCATTGTTTGCATTCCATTGCTGATTAAAAGTGCTGTTGGGCTTGTAGGCAAAGCAGCTGAGTTCAGTGGAATGTATGAAGCAAATTTTCCCATT